CAATATACATATGAAAAAAATAATAGTATAGAAATACTGGAAGAAAATATTCACAGGAGCGATACGGTGATGTCTTTTTTAGTCCTTTCTTAGACTGACTCGCCCGCACACTGCCATCATTCGGTATTTGCAACAAAAAAAATGTTAAATTACGTTATTAAGTTAATTCTTATGATAGTCTAATTACAGAAGAATTAAGTTATGGGTAATAATATCGGTGGTGTAAATCAAGTGTAAAAAAGAAGGCACTAACATAAAAAAAAAATGCTTTTCTTTTCATTTATGTACTTACGAATTCTACGCGGTTTTTTTTGCGTCTCCATTACAAGAAATAATCTAATGCGCTCATGGATCATATAGAATATGCGAGATTCTCAATATGTATGATTGCGCAGCCGTTTACAAGGGTTCAAGGATTTATAGTACCAAGAGTCTTCGATATCCACGTACCAAGAATCAGGAGTTCAGAGGACGAGGATAAGAGAAGACATAAGAATTGTTCGCTTTCAAGATACAAGACTCGTGGTACTGGCAATCTTTGAGATCTTGATAACTTGTATGTCAGTCCAAGGATCTGTAGTATCAAAGATCCATACATATTAGAACACACCGGAATATGTATACGGAATATGTTTAAGAAAAGCTCCGATAATAAGAATCCATGATATTGAGGATTTCTGCAGATTTCAAGGATCTATGGTACCAGCAGATTTTTGTACTCGTGAAATTTAATACAAACAAATAAAGTTTAATTTGAAAACTTTTATTTGCGCATTATATATGGATTCATTATTAACAAATGCAAAATGCAACCGCTCCTTTTGAACTTTTACGTAAATAAATCGTTTTATATCTGTCCTTCAGAGAGGATTAGCTCTATGTCTCAGATTTAATATTAAATATAACATAGGTAGGATTATTCTTCAACGTCCAAATATTACACAAATTTTGAGTTTTGCCACTTCCTCGAATCTAAATAATTTTGATATAAATGAAAATTTACAATTTCTATATGCACAATTTTCAAAAAGTTTCCATTTGCGAGGACAAATCTTTACAATGCAATATGACATACTTCTTTTTCAACGTTATGCAAACCGTTTTATATTATTTTCAGCGCTAAGTTACGCACTTTTAAATTTAACCCTAAACAGTATAAGCGGAATATCAATACTTTCCAAACATTACAAAAATGTTATGAATTTATTATCGTTTTGCAATTATCATTTGTCAAACTTAATACAAATCAAAAGAGAGAATTGCTAAATGTATTTTTTTTTGAACTTTTACATAGTAAGCGTTAACTATATTATAATTCACTCTCTTTTGCATTTTACATTGTTTATCTAATTTACCGTTCTAAAACGCGTTGCACCTTTCCCGCATATTTACAATAAACTCTATTTCATTCTAAATTAAACAAAGTATTTCATACTGTTTAGGTTTAATCAACGCGTTCATGATTGATTCATATCTCTTTAGGGCAACAAAGTACAGTAATAGGTATCATTTTCGATAATGTAGACAATGATTCGAAGAATTTTACGAGTTCTATAGATACGATTTGACCTGGAAAAGGCCCAAGTCGTAGCATTTAAAATTCCCAAGAGTCTAACAAGATCTTAAGACTTATCGGATAAAGAACTCGAAGATCGCCGCAAAAAATTTCAGAACTTTTCAAAAATCCGAAGTTTCACGGATTCTAAAAATAAAGACGCCTATGAAAATCGAAAGATCCCAAGCAAGATGAAAGGATCCAAAAATACCATAAAATCTATTCGTAATTGTAATCGAAACTTTCCGGCTCTTCACAAGATCAATTGTTGGCATTTCGCCTCTGCAGCGCTGCTGCGAGATCTTGCCTGAGCGCGGCCTGCTGTCTTTGATCAGCCAAAGATTGCACCGACCGCAGCCCATTCACAATATCTTTCGTTTTGCCGAAGTAGATCTCATTTAACGTATTACGAATTTTATTCTCCATGTCTTCCACCATTCTGCCGATGTTCGCGATATGAGGAGATGTTTCGCTGATCTGAGCGTCTTGTTCTACCTACAATTGTAAGCAATTGTAAATTTTTTGTAAATTATCTATTGAGGTACAAGCATTTTTAATGAGTCAACAAAAGTGGAGCACAAAGTTTGATATAAGTGCTGTATTTACCTGACGCGTCAAACTGCCACCCAAATTCATTGTACCAGAGCCATGTTTGTTAGTCTGCAGCCACAGCATGGCTGTTGATGTGAGTTTATAATGCGCAGTACGACCAGTTGATTTCTCTTGTACTTCTACTACATGTATCGAGTCCCAACATCCTTTGATCTTTTTAGAACCATCGCCAGCCTTCTTGATGAGAATTACTGCTGCAAAACCATGATCCAAGTCCCACAAGTACACCGACGAGACCCCACCTTCGAAATAGAGCTCTCGATACTGATCAAAGGCATGGTTAGCATCTATTTCCAGTTTCCTCAATCGCTCAGAAGGCATCGAGCCATCCTCTAGCGGTGGATCGTAGGTATTGCTCCAAGGAGATCTGTAAAACATCATGTTTATATAGTGACAGATTATCTTCTTTTCTCTTACCATCAAAACAATCTAATTAATTCTAAACCTAATATTTCATGTGTCAAAATTTTTCAAACCTGTTGATTAACTGCAGGATAGAGAAATCCCTCTTACAGTCAATCGACATGCTTAAAAAGATGAAATATCATTCTAAGCAAAATCATAAGGCTTGTAATTTATTTTCATAAGACTTGTAAGAACTGAAATTATAATTCTATGTATAAGATATATAATCATTTGTAAATATTTATGATTTCTTTTAAATTTTATAGCTTGTAAGAAGTTATCAGTAAAAATATTGCATAATATAAACATTCCAGTGTAAGTTTTTACAAGTCATATGAGAAAAAGTTACGAACTTTAAAATTCTACTTAAAATTGGTCCATAAGTGTCCACTTTGATGATACCTATATGAATCTCCGTCTCTATTGTAGTCGCACAATAGATAATCCTTGCCAGACTCCTTATCCTTGGCAATCTTTAACGGTTGGTCTACAGAGGACAGTAGATCCTCACATAGCGAAGGAACCAAGTCAATCAGGTCGCTGAGGTTTTTTTCAATTTGTTGCGGAGGTAATCTCCGCATCAGGTCTAACGCACAGTCCATTTGCTGCTCTGTCTAAAACATATACATGTAATAAAAAAAAATAGGAATATGTACAGTTATAGGAGAATATACGATTCAGATTATTTACAACTCTGTTAATTGTCTTCTATTTTTCTTTCAAAAAATATGATTCTGAGCGCGAGTAGAGGACGTCTTCGACGACAGAGAGAACGAGATTACTTTTTCAGTGTGTGTAGACAATTCCTGGGATTATTTATTTACAGGTGCATGCGTCAGACGTGACGGTAAACGATGGACGAAACATAAAGGCTGAATGTCTTACCATACTGTCGCAATTTAAATTGGTTATAGGCCGACGAACATCAAAATCTTATTGGCCGATGTCGACAATGAGATAAACGTAAAACGTATTTTTTATTAGCCACTACCTCGCTAGGATTGTCTCAAAAATAAACGAGACGAACATTGAAAGGGTGTGTCGTGGTACAAGCAGCGATTGGCTTGTCGCGCTCGTCGCTGGCCTCCGAAAGGAGCGAGGTTAACTGTTCGCGTCGCAGGCTAGCCAAACTGAACGTTTTGCAGGCATTATAATGGACTTTAAAGACGACGTTGTCGCGAGAACGGATTGGCTGGTGGAGAACATAAGAAACTTTGGACGATGCGAGAAATTCCCATCAAGATTTTCTTCTTAATACGATCTCATGGAGTTCCTTATCAGTTTAAATAAAAAATAATTTCGTGCGTTTTACCCACCATATGCTGCAACTTAAAAATCAAAAGAAAAAAGTTTATCATCGCACGACTTTTGGACTTCTTTTCTACATCACGTGAACAGGCCTTTATACGTTATACTTCACTCAACTCTAAAAAAATTTATTTTCTTATCACAATTATGAAGTGGATACCTCTTTAACACAGACAATTTTCTTCGATTTTATCCTTCTTCACCTTCTTCTAACTCCAGAGACGCGCTTCTCATTGTGTTTTTTGTTATTATTTTCTTTTGTATATTCGTGTGGATAGACCTTTACTCTTTGCGTCCACATTCACTCCGCTCAGACACAATTTTAAAAAATCTAATTTTTTTTACTGGAATCATGAATTGAGAACCTCTATCACAGACACATATAATTTTCTTTGATTTTTTCCCCTTCTTTTTCTTTGCTTAATTCCAGAATTCCAAAGACGCGCTTCTCGTTTTGTGCTCTTTGTTATTTATCTTATTTATTCACTTCAGCCAAGCTCCGATACTTAAAGCGAGGACTGTGCACGGCGAATCATATGTGTGTGTGTGTGTGTGTGTGTGTGTGTGTGTTTGTGTTTGTGTTTGTGTGTGTGTGTGTGTGTGTGTGTGTATATATATATATAGTCTGGATTAACTGTTAAGTGTTTGCACACATTGCATCCCGATGATGGCGAATCTGCGCGGATCTGCGCGAATAATCTTACAGTAATGAGAGTGATCGTGCATCTTATCACGGGTGATCGTGGGTGACAGCGTGACTCACGAGTTAAATTCGGGCTCTCTCCTTTCCCTTCGTATTCATGACTCTTGAATTTTCATAAACAAACGAGAATGGGTGTTGGCCTTAAACCATTGGAGTTTACGGATTGTTTAACCGACAGTCCGTACTTCCGCGAGAATCTTCACTATCACGAGCGCGAATTGGAAAAGACCAGTCAGCAGATCAAACGGCTCGTTAAGGAGGTCAAAGATTTATTGCTAGCTGCTAAGAGTAAGTTCATGACGCGACGTTTTTTTTTCTCTATTCGGGCTGTCGAAACATGTGTTTGTTGTAACAGCTGTTGCACATATAATTTACCTCCGTGCGTAATTAGTAAGTCAAGGCTTTTGCAATATTCTTTCACGACAAAGTGAATTTAGAAATAACAATCTGCTTATTTTATTTTTTTCCTTCTCTATCAGAGATTGTAGAAAATAGTTTTCTATCAATGTAATATAATCTCTCCTTTGCTCGTTAAATTAGTTATAATAACGTATATGCTGTTTTTTTCTAGATTTGTCTAGAGCGCAAAGAGCCTTTTCCAAAACGTTGCAAAACTTTAGTTTTGAATGCATTGGCGAGAGCCAAACTGAAGACGAAACTCATATATCTCAGAGTTTGAAAGAATTTGGCAAACTTATAGCATCCATAGAAGATGAGAGGGATCGCATGGTATGCAATGAATAAATTAGTTTGTAGAATGTATTCATTGCATTTAATAGATCTTGATAGAGAACGTTGTAATTCTAAAACGTGATAAATATAAAAAATGATATATAAAAAAGATTAGTTTAAAGGAGATTCTGTTAGTATAGTAATGATGATGTCATTTCTTAAAATAGCTTTCCTTTTTCTAGTTGGAACGAGCATATGATCAAATTATATTACCTTTGGAGAATTTTAGAAAAGAACATATCGGTGGAGTTAAGGTAAAGCTGTTTAATGATTTTTTGTATCTATACAATTAATATTTATATCTAAAATATTTCAAGCCAACAAAATATGTTTAGTTTTATTTACTTAGTGTTTTGTAATTTTTTAGGATGGTAAAAAGAAATTTGAGAAACAGACGATTAAATTTTGTCAGAGTCAAGAGCGTTACTTGAATTTATCCACGAAAAAGCAGGACAATGTTTTGCAAGAGGTATATTTAATGATGAATGATTCTATGAAGAATTTAGGATTGTACATTATTAAGTAATTGACATTTTGTAATGCATGTGTAAATCTGTAGGCTGATGCGACATTGGAGATGGCTGAAAGACACTTCTCTCAAGCTAGTTTAGAATATGTATTTTTACTGCAGGAAGTTCAGGAGCGGAAAAAGTTTGAATTTGTCGAAACGGTAATAGTTTGAACAAAAATTATTGCTTGTAATAAAATTATTCTTACGTACTTAAGTGTTTTACTACATTAAATATATGTGCAAAATAAATTGCAGTCTAATGTAATATAAAATGTTCCAGTTGTTGGGATTTATGTTTGGATGGCTGACATTCTATCATCAAGGTCATGAAGTCGCGAAAGATTTCAAACCCTACATGACAGAGCTACAATTAAAAATTCAGAAGGTTGGTAATGATTCCTGTAATGCGTTTTTAACTGCTTAAATACGTTAAATTATATAGGAGAAAAAAGTGTTTTATCTCTCTAGTCGATATACTTATTTTCTTGTTAATGCATTATTGCGAGTGACGATAATGTAGAAGCATTTAATGACTTAATAATTTAGTGTTATCGTTGTATGTTTGTATGCAAGAAAATTTTATTGAAATATGCATCACTAATATGTAGATACATGTTTGCTCTATAGTATTTCTAATATTATTGATAATGAGAGTTCTCCTTTTCCAGCTTAAACCAAAATTATATATTGCAATAATAATAAGTTAACAATTCATAATTTAGTAATTAATTGAAAATTAATTTTAATAAAATTTAAAATATAGAATTCCGCAAATAACGCGCGCTATGTAATTGCTAATAAAGTAAGTTTAACTTGTATTTATATTGTATATTAAAATATGGAATTTATAGCAGAAATACATTATTAAATATTTACTATAATTTCCTTTTGGAATTGGTATAAGGATACGGAAAATCATTGATAAATGAAATCTTGTAACATTCGCGACTAAATTATTCTATAACGTATCAATATAATAAGATTGATAACAGCATGAATAAGCGCTTACTAATTTTTATTTGTGTGTGTGCGCGCGTGTGTTTCACAAGACTAGAGAGAATTTCCTTGCTACCCGGGATAAAACTGAATCACTTATGAATAAAATGAAGGACATGAAAAAGGTATGTTATAGCAATTTTTTCTCTTAATTACTTAGTAAAAATTAGATATATAAAAACACATTGTTTTGTAGTTTTATTCTGTCATTTTAAGTGCAAGTATTAAAAATTAAGCATTGAATATCAATTATTATTTATTAGTAGTTTTATATATATATTTTTTAAGTGTAAAGTGTGCTTTCTACATTCACCCATATCATCTTTTTTTTCTTAGTCCGCTGTAGAAAGTGGTCTCAACAAATTACACTCGCGAGAAGGATATTTATTCCTAATGGAGAAAAGTAAGTTCATTGTAGTATAAAAAACTTTGGTGAAAATTGATTGTTTAGTGAGTCTTAATATAAATATTTTAAATACTACATTATGTATAATGTCATTGACTATGTGCATTATAAAAAAACATGTTTGCAGAAGCATTTGGTACAACATGGACGAAACAGTATTGCACATATCAAAAGGATAGGAAAGAATTCACTATGATTCCTTATAATCAACTCACGGGAAAATTTGTAAGTAAAATGGAAACTTAATTATTAATATGTATAATATGTTTTATTAAGGATTTCCGGAATGATTTCTCAATATTTTATTTTTAGAGTGGTAAGGAAACCCTTACACTGTGGTCTTGCATACGACGAACATCGGACACTATCGAAAAAAGATTTTGCTTTGATATTACTGCCATAGATAAGTAAGTTGAATTTGTATGTTTAACATATAATTATTTTATTTTATCATCAATGAAAAATGATTAAAGAAGCTTCTCTGCTGTTTTTCTAGACCTAGTGTAATATATACATTCCAAGCGCTTTCCGAAGAGGATAGGAAGTTATGGATGGATGCTATGGATGGGAAGGAACCTGTGAGAATCTTTGTACATTTCAATGATATTCAAATGGTCGCTTTTACTACTTTTCTATCTTTCATAAACGAAATTGCGTGTAACAATCATGTAATCATTTTCCAGACCTGTCCACGATTAGGTTCTTCCACGAGATCCGAAGATATGACGTTGGCTGAAACCGGTTTTACGTTCGTATCGAAATGTATTGCAGCGCTCGAAGATAGAGGTGATACAATTGACTTTTTCTTCAGTTAATCAAGCTTTCTGTTCGTCTAATATCATTGATAATATGATTAATCTATTAATTTTAAATAATTGTCAACAGGACTAGAAGAACAAGGTTTATACAGAGTGGTCGGAGTTGCTTCTAAAGTAAATAAACTTTTAACAATGGGTCTCGATAAAAGGAAAGTGGATAAGCTCAGCTTAAGCGATCGTTTTGAATGGGAGAGTAAAACTATTACCAGTGCGCTCAAAACTTACCTGAGAACATTGTCCGAGCCATTAATGACTTTCCGATACTACAATAGCTTCATTACAGCTGCGAGTGCGTATAGGTATTCTTGATAATATATTGTTTTATTTTATTTTTGCTACTGTATCTATTCTCGGAGATAGAAATTTTACGATAGATCTGCTTTCTTCCTTTTATCTCTTCGTTTTTCTCAAACACTTCGCTTCCCTATTATTATTTTCAACATTCTTTCTGTATCAAACTAAAATTGTATTGTGATTTTTATATTATGGTATTTAACAGAACAGGAGATGAAGGAAACTCGGATAAATGATATACATAATCTTGTTTATCGATTGCCTAAACCCAATTTCAATATGTTGATTCTTCTTATTACTCATCTTTGTAGGTAAGAAATATTATTAATTTATAGAATTTAGCATTTTTTTTTACTATATATGTGTACTTACTTATTTATCTTAACTCGAAAATTTAATATCGAAAATATTTTATTTTTGTTAAATTTTATTTAAACTTGAATATAACATTTTCAGCGTGGCAAAAAAAAGTGACAAAAATCTGATGACTGTGGGGAACTTGGCGGTGTGTTTTGGTCCGACTTTATTACGACCAGAAGAAGAAACAGTAGCTTCTATAATGGACATTAAATTTTACAATATTGTTGTTGAAATATTGATTGAGAATTATGAAAAAATAGTAACTGGACCACCCCAAGATTCTTTGCAGCGCGCAGTAGCAGCGCAATCCACGCTACAAGCTACTGTTATCCCAAATAAATCGCAATGCATTAAAATGGAAGAAGGTCCAACTTCCTCGGGTAATGGAACGGCATTTTTAAGATATCCGCTACACACAGCGGTACATACAACAGTTACACCCGCGTCATCACACGCGCACGTAAGTTTGCAATATTGTCTTTTCTTTCATCATTATATATATATTCCGTATATATATATTTATATATCATGTATACAGCTTGTTACAAGATCTTACTATGACGGTCAGCCTTTGACTGTTAATAAGTCGCCCACTATTGATGAGAGAAATAACGGAGATTATGACCGAGAAGATCTTGATAACACAGGTCATCGTATACCATCATACTTGGATAGTCGCGGCGGTGGTACCAGCAGCAGTCGCATAAAATTGACTAACGCGAACCTTATGTATCATTCAACTGACAAAGGTTTTATTCTTTTTTCCTATGTTCTTTCATTATAACCTCTAGTATGTTGATATTTCTTCTGAATGAAAATATTATTCCAGTTCTAAGCGGTGGCAATACGAGTAGTTCGAGCGAATCAATAGCCTCGGATCCTCATCCCTTTACAGGCGAATTACCAATAAAACAAAAACGTGGCACTATGATATCCGTGCACTATCCCACGGCTTATCCTCAGCGTAGCAACTCGTCATCGATATGTCCGTAAGATATCCCAATTTTTTCATTGGCAAAAATCTACTTTTTTATTCGATAAATATTTTTTATTATCATGATCTTATACATAATTACAGCATCAACACTTCACCCGGTAGTGGACGTTCGAGTCCTGGTCAAATTCCAGGAATATGGTAAGTATTCTATATAAGATTTAGGAAGATTGGAACTCTTAAGTTTGTATAAATTCTTAGGAGAGTGCGAACCTTATATGCGTGTATGGCGGAAAACGATGGCGAATTATCATTTGAACCAAATCAAATTATCACAAATGGTAAGAGCGACATGAAAGTATTGATTTTTATAGATTTGAAAGAGGCACGTAACAAAATGTATTATTACAGTTAAGGCCTCTTTGGAACCAGGTTGGCTGGAAGGTACATTAAACGGTAAAACGGGTTTAGTGCCGAAGAATTATGTAGAGCAACTGCCCTAAGTACTGTGAAGGAAAAGAAAACCAAAGAGCGTCTGAGAAAATGTAGACAATTTTATCGTTACAAAACAATTTACAAATATTCTTTTAGATAACATTCTTGATATCACTGAGAAGGAAGCAAATTTATGAAAATTGTACTATACAAGAACAGCCATATTTTGAGCTTTCATATCAATTTTGTTTGGCTACACACTGCTTAGTCAATTATATATATTATATATTATATATTATAAATAAATAAATAAA